TCGCTGTTCCAATATTTAGTACAGCAGATTTTGTTGTCATACGCTATTCGTTTAATAAAAGGAACTCCAAATGTATGACCCTTCTGTGAAAAAATGCATTTTGTTAGCCAAACCCCCAAATAATCGCCCCTCTTCATGATTCTGTGCAGGCAGAATCTGAAGCCCTTGTTTTTCATAATATCCATCATGTTCTTGTCAATTAAACAAAGATTCTCTTCACGAGTTTAATCATTTGAATTTTGAATATGACATTCTGTTGCTTTTTCTCTAGACTTTAAAAATGATGTTGAATTTGGAAGTGGAAGGAACAGTTAACCAGATCTGTTTGGATTACACATGTGATGTGAATGTGTCTTTATGTTATACATGTGGCTGTTAGATTCTCTGGGGGTGATGCTTTCCCCAGTCTTTCAAAATAGAACAGTAACAGAGGGAAAGCCTGTGCCATCTCAGTATAAACGGCAGCAAAGGGAACTCTGCCAAGTCCAGGAAAATAATTATTTACCATTTAATTGTCTAAAGAAATCTGGAGTTCATGGAGAATGGGAAGCAGCACAACGTAGCAACATCCAAATGCGAGCGAATTGACGTGAAGTTTGTTCTTTAGGAGGCTGGTTTTGAATGCGATATCAAGATGGAATATTTCATGTCTGGTTTTGGTATTGCAAATGTCTTCTCTTCCTCCTCAATTTGTTCTTAATTAAATTTCTTCACAATTTAATGTTTTGTGTGGATTGTTTTGTCTGCTGTCTGACTTCTGACCTTTAAGGAAGAGAGGATTACTTTCTCAGGAACATTGTTTTTGTGGGGTTTTCTTTTTTTTCTAATTAGCCTTGTTTTTAAAAAAACCAACTCTTCCTCCCCTGTTTTGTACGTTAGATGCCCCCAAAGTTTGTGAGAATATAGTCATTTCAGACAGCATTGCTGTCGATCTTTGTGTTTGTACCAGATCATCGTCACTGCATTTCCAAGCTTTTTTTTTCTTTTTTTCTTTGAACCACATAAAGATTTACTTTGCGGAGCACAAGAAGTGTTCTAGAACCTGTGCCAGGCTTCTTTTGAGCTTTATAGGAACTTTGGCAGAACTGTGCTGGGTTTCTCACCTAGGATGCGGAAGGCAGAACTCCGTATCAGGCACCTGCTGGCTTTGGAAGCTGACTTCTTTAATTTTCCTGATGCTCACAAGCTTTCCTCTCAAGCTTTTGCTTGAGAAGGTTGGAACGTTGGTTCTTGCTTGCAAACCAAAGTGATTTCCCCTGTGTGTGTTTCAGCATAGCCCGTGTCTCTGTGAATTCTTTGTGCAGAGCTTTTTGTCTCCCGAGCTGCTGCTAGTACGTGTCTGGTCTATAGAAATCACTCAAGCTCTTGCAATTTATTAAATAACTGAACTGTTTTAAGTCTCTGGTGTGTTTTCATAGAAAGCTTTGTTTAGGAAGTGAGGTTCCCAAAGAAAGCAAACTTTGGACCCTTATGTTTAAAAACAAGCACATCCTTTGTTTTGAACGTTACCGGCAACCGTCCCTTGTCCAAAAGAAAAAGATCGCTAAAAACGCAGTCATCCATCCTTAGGCGATCTAAATCCTTTAGTTCCCTCTTCTTGGATAAGCGCATCTGTCTTCCAAAATTCTGTTGTCTTTTTGCCAAAGTGCTGAAGTATATTGCTGAATGTATTTTTTATGTGTTTTGAGCAGAGTTGTTCCGTGGCTCGTAGATGCTGTGCCGCTTACAGATTACAGTGCTGCGTGCTGCTTTGGACTAGCAAACGTTCCGAAAAAGTCAAATCCCTGCTCACCGAGATATTTCTGTCTCTTCTAATATGGACTTGCCCAAGTTAAATGTCTCGTTTGCAGTACCTTGCTTCAGTGCTGCCTTTTCGAACTTGTTTTGGTGTTTGACATGCTCAGAATGAGCCAGCTGAAAGCTCTCCTGCATGTGATCGTTTGTGGATAGAGAACAGAAAGTCAGCACGCTTCAGTTTCCTAATATCGTTTGCACGTGTTTTCGGGATGTGTCTCTCTGCAACAGGTAAATCATATTTCTGATGTTGTGGTGAACTTTTTATCCATTTAAAAAATATTCCACTGTCGTTAGAATTAAATTTTTCTTCAGTCATTGGTGGACTGTTATGAAATGCGGTTGCTAAAGACCTGTTCAGAGAACATGATTTTAACTTATAATACCAACTGGATAGATTTATACATCTGAAATTCATTTAACCTTTAGATCAGCTGTCTTTCTACTTAAGGGCTAATTTTTCATGCCTAATTTGCACATGCAGTTACTGTGACTGAGTAGGCAGTTATGGTAAAAATCTGTGCAAACAGCAGGCGTTTCATCTATACCAGTTTTACACCTTCAACCGCTGTAACAGCGAAGTAGGAATTTCATGAAGAAGCGAAAAGAAGCATGCCTGGCTTTGAAAGTCTGTGCTTGATGTCTTAGGTCTCTAGCCTAAAATCTTCTTCTCTGACTCTACCCTGTTTAGCTTGTGATCTGTTTTCCATGCTTCTCTCTGTAGCCGTGTCTCTCCGTGGAGGTGGTGGTCTCTCTAGCCACCATTTCGTGGCCATTCCTTGTCACACTGACTCAGTGGTGGCTGCTGTGAGCAGTAAGCAGAAGAGGGTCTGTTCCCGTCTTCCCTCAACAGAGCGGCTTCTGGGACGTTTTGTATCGCAGCTCTGGTACCCATTTCATTTCTCCAGCTCGTGTCCTACAGGGCTTGGGTGTCCTAGTATGAACGGCCCACTGCACCTGAGACTATCTTGTCCCAGATGATTTATATTGCTTTTGATTTATCTTTGAATTAAGTGACATCCTGGAATATCCCGTGGATTACACTGTAATAGTTCAAATTCCTAGCTAGACTGCTTTTCTGTGAGTTTTCTCTGACCTACAGCTGATTCAGTCCCTTCTCTAAACAGAGCAGCACATAACGTGAAAGTCGTTAAAGTGTATTTATGAATGAAATATGGACTTTTTTTTTAAATAACCAAAGAGCATATGACTGTATTTTATGTAGGACTACACAAGCACTTTTGTTCGTACTGACAGCTGAAGTCATCTAAAGAGTTAAAGCACAACTATTTTTATTGGATGTTGCCGCAAACATTTATAAACCCATTTCTCTGTGTAGTGCATATTAGTAATAGATTGCGCTAAAAAATGTGGTCTCAGTATTTACAGAACAGAATGTGCTTTCCTTTTGCTGACACCTATGGAAAGGAAACTGTTGCACAGCAGCAGATGATCATTTCAGTCGATTTTCCTCCTTTCCTACTCCCACCCCCTTTCTGGAAACATAATGCAAGGGTTGTAAAGCCATCGCTAAGTAACGTGCTTGCTGTCTCATGCCGGTGAGAGATCGTGGGGCCTTTAAAGTGCCTTTAAATTGGCTTTTGGATGCCGGTGTTTTCCTCTTGTAGGTTCTCTGCTTTGCTTTTTGAGCAGATCTGTAAGAACATAATGTAGAGCATCAGAAAGCAGTGTGTTTGAAGGTGATGGTGATCGCTTGAGAGCTACATACAGTACTCCACTTGACTATGTTAGATCCATGACCTGCACATTTCAGTTCTTGAGGACTCTTGGCTCATTTGTAATACACAGAAAAGTACTGAGCTCTTAGTTTGTGCACACCTGGAATTTTGCAGCTGTAGGTTTCAAATCAGTTGCCTTACAGGAGCGTACTGGATCCGATTTGTGGGACTATAGAACAGCTGAAGCAGGTAGCTCACAGGATCAGGATCCTATCCGAGACTAAGATTGTAAACCCAGCAGGTTGAAAAGATTCTTTTCTTTTTGTGGAATGTAGAAAGAAACGGATACCAAAAGGACAACAGGAATTGTAAGAGACCCTTCATGCATAGTCACATTGACATATTACAGCTTTGGATTGAGTTTTAATTATAGTATTGCACATCTAAATCTGATAGCTTTAGAAGTACTGAAGTTTTAGAGAATGTTATATGTTCAGGTAGTTCTGTTTTAATTCACAGGTTTTGAACCTGTGGGTTTACGTTTTCAAGAGTTTTTTCTGCAACCATGAGGATTATAAATTTCTCTTAACGTACAGTCAAATGCCTTCCCCTCAAAACACAAGCCACTGGAAGGCTTACAATGAAGTGGTAACATTCTGTAGCAGTATGCGGAGGACCTTCAAACAGCTGACGATGCACAGCATATTGCTTTCCCAGTTTTAAAGCCATTTGTCCAGATGCTGAAACAAGTTTTTCTTGTCCTACCTGAAACAGGCTTTTTGCTCCCTCTGCCTCTTGTGTAACTAGGCTTCGCCTTCGGGTGCAGAGGTTGCACAGTCATGAACCTGGGTTGAGTTGGCAGCGGGACTCCAGCTGTATGAGCTTTGTTTCAAAATACTCAGTTTAACTCAGGAGTCAACGTTGAGTTTGTATAACAGTTTGGCAACTTAGCACCAAATGCTGGAAAGTGCATAAAATGGCTCTTTAAATGACTGAATACTAGTAGTAATATTTTCAGAAGATCATAATTTTGTATTGCATTTTTATTGGATTCCGAAGAATTGTGAACTAGGCTTTAAAAGAGCTTTTTTTATAGGGAGGATTATACGTCTTCCTACTTATTGACATATTGTGGGGCACTATCAGTGTTAAATAAAGCTTTATCCACTTTTGGCTTCGGAGTGCTGGATCCTTTGTTGATCAGTGTTGCGTATCTTGAATGTAATGGTGTAGATCCCATGGATAGAAGTGTAGATCAGGAAATTTCATAGACTGCTGACATTTTTAAATACATAACTGTGCATCTGTATGATTACTTAATTTTGTCTATAGCTGTTCAAATCACACCACTGTAGAGCTTTGGCATTTTTCATAATGTCATTGTATTCCTTTAGGCAGAGGGCAATTCTAAAATTTTCAGGGTTGCTTTGTTCACCTTGTGTGCATGACTGTGTGTCGTCTAAGAATTTTCCTGAAAATATCAATTTCTACTAGTTTTCACTGCTGTGTGTTTCTCTATAATTGCAGGTCACTTATTTTATAAATTTGGAATCACAGAATCTGACTGGTATCGAATCAAGCAAAGCATAGACTCCAAATGCCGAACAGCTTGGAGACGGAAACAGCGAGGCCAGAGTCTTGCTGTGAAAAGCTTTTCAAGGCGGACACCTTCATCATCATCTTACAGTGGTTCAGGTAAGCAAACAAACAACCCCCCCCAAACTCACAAAACCCAAACAAACAAACGCCAACAGAAAAGGAAACTTACAGTAATAATGTCTTTTGTTTCTCAATATATGTGAATATGATTTTGATCTGAAGTTGTACTTACAACAGGTGCATGTAGTACCCCAAATTTTGAATATTTTTGTTTAACAAAGATACGTGGAGAAACCCACATTTCTCACAATTGAATTTTTGGAGTGGATTTTGTTTTGTTGCTTTTTTTTTTTTCAAGTATCACTTATCATTGGTGAAGAGATCTCTCTGTTACAGTGTATATACATCTACAGTGCTCCTCAGGGAGTGTATCCATGTACTAAGTGAAGTCAGCCGTTCATAGTTAAATCATTATGGGCCTTCCGTGCAAGCTGACCACCTCCTGGTACCTCCGGAGTCCTTTGCAGCCTGGTGGGGCTTCTACCAAAGTAGGTTACTGGTAGGGTGAGCTCCTGATACCGTTTCATCTGCAAATTGCAGTCCTGCTCCTGGTTGCAGTGCATTAATGATCCTGGAAGGGAAGCGAGATGTGTGTGTGTGTTCACCAAAAGAAGAGGGAGAAGGGAGTCTGTCTGTAAAACAGCAGTAATACGCAGATTTGCCAGAAATGAAAGTGCAGTATATTCCAGCGTGTGTGAGAGAGAGGCTGTGTTGGTTTGGGCGTTCTCGGAATGCCTGGCTTCACTGGGATGCTTGAGAACGTCCATCCACATGTGCTAACTGAAGAAAAGCAGCAGATGCAGCTTCGTGCTATCATATGGTTTTTTTACCGTGTTCAGTTTTTTGAGTAGAAGGTCAAAATGTTTCTGCAACTGTTCGTAAGAGGAGTCAAGTGAATAAATCTTTCTCAGTATGTTCACACCATTTAGCAGGACGTGCTTAGTTTTGTTCCTCAAGTATTTTCCTCTGAAGAAATTAAATATGTTGTAGGTGATTCTATATTTCCATATAGGTAGGTAGGCATGAATAATAATAACAAATGAAAAATACTGACCTAAGAAGTGTTCTCATAGGACATTCCTGGCTCATGCTTTTAATATAAAGCAGTGTTACGGGACATTTGTACATCATATATTAAAAACAGTGTTTTGGAAGTGAGCCCAAAGAAAAGGAAGTAAGTTTATTTGCCTGCATAAAATTTTTGGTTGCATGTTAACACTAACCACTGTATCTCGAGCAAAGAATGCCAAAATCTGCTTTCAATGGAAAATTTTATGTGCTGGAACTGGGAATCATATCCAAAATTCTCAAATTAAAAATACTAATCAATGTAATGATAACCATAAGCCATATGTGTTGATGGGATTTTTATTTTCAGTCTCTTAGCAATCAGTATTTTAGAGTAAGAATGCAGTAGTAAGTGGATATTATGGGCCTGTGCTCATTAGACCGTACTCCTTGACTGTTGTTGAGATTTATTATTAAAAAAATACTAATTTTTAATATCCTGGTTTGGAGATCTGGGGAGTCCACTGTAGAGATGTAAAACACAGACTCAGGCTCAGTGAATTCTTGTCTTCAGAAGGCCATAAGGTAATAAGTTTTGGTGGGGTTTTTGTGTTGTGGTTAAACTGAAAGCTCATTTTTTTTGTTCCCTCAATTCCAGTAACGTGATTTGTGGGTAAATTGTTCCATGGGTACAAAGACACCTGAATTAGCTCCTGGGATTTCAGCAACATGCTGTCTCAGCAGGTGGGAGCAGCGTGGGGCAGACACACATGAGCTGGTTCTGCAAGAGCCACGTTTTGGGCTGTGCGCCCCGGCCGGCTCGTTTAGCTGGAGCTGAGCGGGCTGCCTTTGGGCCATCAACCTGCGGGACATTCCAGGGAGTTTGTCTGCCTCCTGGGTCTCCCACTGTGCAGGCTATCTCATCTCCCAAGTCACCTAGATAGCAAAGAGGTGACTGCATGTCCTTATAAAGATGTCTTTGGTCCTGAAGATGATGAAGGTGAGCTGAGGCATCTTGGCATGTCATTGGCGGGACTGTATAGACTGCAGCCAAAAGCAGAGTGCCGCCAATAACATTAACAGCTGCCTTCGGTGACGGTATGTAAAAATGTTCCCATGGATTCAGAGTCTTTTGTTAATTTTCTTTAAAATACTGCTTTTACTCAGAATGTCATTGGCATCGTCTTCTGGGAGGCTGTAAAGGTGCTGGATGAATTCACCACTATATTTGCACCCACTGTGAAAAAGCTCTTAGAAAAACAGACCACTTTTCAGAATCAGATGGTCCTTTGAAAAACTAATTGGCCTTCCAAAATCAGGTGGGAGTGGTATTTCACCTGAAGAAAGAAGAAGAGGTGTGAGGGAAAACAGGAGAGTGGGTTGAGAGGCTGAATGAGTATATAGGGAGAAGAAAGAGAAGAAAAGATGGAGATTCACACACTTTTTAAAAAGTAACATTTGCATGACAAGGCTGTAATTCCACCGCTCTGCTCAGGTAACTTCCTGAACCACTCAGACTTCGCCTTTGTGGTTTGACATCCCTGGAACCTCTCAATGGAATTACAGCATCATAATTCACAGTCATCTGTTCCCTATTATAAACACCGTATAGTGGATATAGCAGAAAGCTAGCAGAAAACAGAAGCAGTATTTCACAGCTCTGAAGTAAAGGAGGTCTGTATTTCACAGTTATGACAACATAGCTGTCAAATACGGCTTTTTAAAGTGTTACATATGAACCCAGACAGTTTTTATGGTAGCATTTGTTTCAGGGGGCAATTTAAGGTGAGCCTCGAACGGTCTGGAATTCACCTACTTGAGAAGCTGTCTTTCCCGCGGTTGTCAGTTACAGCTACGAAGCCCAGCGCTGGGGGCTTTGTGTCAGGTCTCCACCCGGCTGTGGCTGCTGCGGTCTGCAGAAGACGACCTGTGTCTGGTTTCACCGAGTGGTGTGGTGCTCCGTGTCAGTTCACATACAGCAGGCATCTGAGTTCTTTATCTGTTGGGCAGAATGTAGTAGCTGCTTCTCACAGAAGATAGAATGGAAACAAAAAAAAGGCTCTTAAAAGATTGTGAATGGCTACAGTGTCGTGTTTACGCTGCGAAGGATGCGGGGATAGGCAGCGTAGTTTCTTGTATGATCTCCTCTGAGCTGTTCTGAGAAGCTCTGGCTTTGGCTCCACTCGGCATAGGACTGTATGACTTCGGTAGAAGAGAAGCTGTGATTATTTAGTTTGATCAGGAAATTTAGTAGAGCGTGGTTCTGTGACTGGTCGAGTTAGGTCACTGAGCGGCTTAAGGTAAGCGTGTCAGGTTCTCCGATAGTTTAGCTGCAACGGTGGTGTTGCACACGTTCATTTCACACCTTGCAGACAAGTGTTTCAGATTATGCCACGGGGAGGAAAAATTTTCACACTCGCCAGGTTCAGGAGGATAAACCTAAGCTGTTTGTGGAAGTATTTAAACCCACTGATTCTTAGCTAAATGATGATAATTTCCTAGAGAAGTGTTAGGGCTTACCCTAGAAGGTAGTCCCGTAGTCTTCAGAAGGCGCTTCTTTGGAAGATGCACTATTGCCGTCAGCAGATGCCGTGAGCAGACGCAGTAGTATCACAGTGTCTGCCGTGCAGCTGAGCTGTTCTGAACACAGCATTAAGAGGCTTGAGTGTGATCTCAGTGTCCTGAGCGTGAATGAATGAGCACCGCGTTCCCTGTATGAACGTTTCCCAGAGTTTGGTAAGGCTTTTCTACTTCTGAACTTGTGGTTGTAGTATTTGTTATTAAAATTGTGACCAAGGGGTACAACAAAAAAAAAGGGGGGGCTCAGATCCAGAACTGTTGTGTTTAGTTGGCTTGAAGTAATATTTTTCATTAGCTATCTCTAGGGGCTGATAATAGCAAGATAGCTTTCTGTTATGTCGTAGTGTAATAATACATTTCAATCAGCAGAAATTTATCGGCACTTTCTTCAAGTGTTGCAAAGGAGCTCCATTCTCCTATGTGTTACAGAATATTTTCTTAAATGCTGGTGTGCTAAAAGTCTAGAATAACAGTCTTTTATGTTTGGCAGTGAAAAGTGTTGAACATCTCTACATATCGTTAAAAATAATATTTTTATTAGTCCTGAAATAGTCTCAAATCAGCATGTTCACTGCCCTGCTGGAAAGTCACCTGCCTGTGACCTGCCTTGGATTTCTCTGGCTCTGAGGGATCCTGAGGGTGGTTGAACACGGTAGTTCCCCAGAGAAGCTGCAATGACACAATCCCTGGAGACCATCAAAACCCACCCAGACGCAGTCCAAAGCAACTGTTTCTGGTTGCCCATGCTTTGAGGAAGGGCACTGGATTAGATGATCTCCAGAGGTCACTTCCAACCTCATCTATTCTGTGATTTTGTGATTTTGACGAGTTATTACACGCATAGTAAGTAATTCTGAATTATTTACATCTGAAGAGGATTGTTATTCTTGAGCTTCTTCATTCGTAAGTACTTGTTGGACACGTCAAAACTTTTAGGCTTCTGCTTATTGTGCATAAAAGTTTATGTAGCACGTGGCTTTGATTTGAGTCATGCAGTTAAAAATGATAACAGATTTCCTCTCTGCTCTGTTTATCATATGGAAAAATTAGCGATGCACATGACATGGAAAAGCAGGAGGCCGAGCCCATCGTCCTTACGTAGCCTTACAAGTTTTTGGCGTTGTAATTCTGTGATAGCGTTCAAGTGTCAAGAGCTCGAGGGGAGCTGATCCACAGACAAAAACATGTCCAAGGGAGCTGGTAGGAAAATATGAGTGAATATCTATTTGTCCTTCACCCCCAAAGATACTAATTGAGATTGTTCTACATTTAATTGACTGTGCAGCTTTACAGGAGCCGGAAGATTTATGGGTTGCATAAAGTTGTTGTAGCAGACTTATATTTAGGCAGAAGTTGTTTTTTTCTTACTTTCTCTGGCTTTTCTGTTTGAAGCTGTTGCCTCTTGTTGGAATTAAAGTATTAATTGTGGTGGTTTGCTCTGCTCTTGT